TTGCCGCCGGTTGACTCGTCGTCGTTTTGTACGAATCGGGCTTTCACGGTTATGAAAGAACCGCGAGAAACGATCGACTCGGTTCCCCCGTTCATTCACGGACACGGAACTTTCACTTGGGCCGGGACTGCTGGTCCCTTTATATCGCGGGATCTATCTCCGGATGATTCCGGGCCAAAGTAGATTCTTCAACCGATGCTCTCTACCTTTTTTTTTCTTTTTTTTTTTTGTTTTCCATTCAATTACCAACCGTTCCCACTGTCGCGGCCCGGTACGATTCTTCCTCCGTGGACGGTGAGAGCTGCGATATTATCCAGTTTCGAAGGATTGATCGCGTGTCTGTTCCGCGACTGCTCGCGTCGATATCCTTCCGGCGCGATATACACGAGACGGTGATCGTTTCGCGTGGATTCACTTACCGCCGCCGTTCCATTTCTGATTAACACCCGAGCCTCGTCGACGACTTTGGCAACTCTGCGCTCCACCCTTCTCCCCGCTTCACCACCGTCGGCTGGAACCTGTTCCTGCGGAGGCTGGTTCCCATCAAGCATCGATGAACCGGAGTATTTTCGGGTATGGAGTCGCTGCCAGGCCGATCAACGGTGTGGGAATGAAGCGGCAAGCGGAATGAAGAGAGGGAGAGCGGCGAATACAGGGTAGGAATAGGAAGGAGGGAGGGGAGGAAGGGTGGTTGCTGTTGAGGGAACGCCGTCGGTTGGAGGGCGACGGGCGGCGAGCGAGACGACGGGTGTGAGTTGGCCGGAGTGGTGTTTCCCCGGGGTAAGCATGAGCATATACTTGCCCGGGGCTTATTCAGACAAATCGGTGATTGCTGCGGAGGCGAGCGAAAGGGTAGCTCGCCACACCACCAACGGCATCGCTGCTCCTCCACCACCGCACACGCCACCACCTTGCTCTCCGCCGACAACGAAGACAGAGGCTTTAGCCCCGAAATCCGCGACTGCGGCTGCAACTGGAAAAGAGAACGAGAAAGATGAACGGATATAGATAGACAGATGGATAGATAGATAGATAGATAGATAGATAGATAGATAGATAGATAGATGAATGGAGAGGGAGAGAGGGTGGAGCACACGGACCGAGTTTTGGGAGATGGACGGTGAGAGAGGAGGAATGAAAGGAGGGAGGGGGAGAGAGAGTCGAGGTTAGAACGAAGAAGCGTCGGAGGGAAGGAGAGCGAAGAATGATTGTTTCCATGATTACAATGGAACGGAAGAGGAAAAGGGACGGAGGTGGTTGGCCTAGGAAAACGGGTATGGCGAGCAATCTCTTAGCGCTAACGTAGATTCGTGGCCCAGGGTCTCTCGAAATATTACACCGGAGGGGTAACCACAGCCCCCCGAGGGTGAGGGGGAATTTTCGTAACTCGGAGGACATGCATTTTTCAAAGAAATCTCGCGGTTTCTCTCCTCGGCACGGCCGTGGAAAAAGTGCAAAACGCGCGGATCTCTCGCCGAGAGACAGATGCTCTACTCTGTCCGAACGATTCTCGATGTTGTTGAGGAATTAATCAGGCAGTTAGTCGTTCATTTGGTACTTTGACCCAAGGCAAAAAGAGTTACACTGTTGCAACATTCTGTACATCAATAGGTCCTGTCTCATATCAAGAACTTAGGCAAAAACCAACGTCGAATGATGAATGGACAATATCAAATCGAACGAAAATCCACTTAAGGGATCTAAGTAAAAAAGAAACACCTATGATAGATGCCAACAATCTGTCACACTGTTCAGCATGTGTTTCCATAGGAAATATACAAATTTTGAGTGGCAGGGAAGATTCCATCTTTATCTTCACTTTCCAAAATCGTCTGAAGAGAACTTGAAGAACCATCACTTCAAAACCTGAAAAAAAGAGTGAAACTCTCGTCTTGTTCGTACGGTGTAATTTTTAATTACACGAACAGCAACAGCAACGTTCACGGAAAGCACGGCAACATTTCGCATCGGACAAATTACTGCTCCTGGAAACAGCGAATCGAACGAATCGTCGCCGAAGTAACGACTCCGCCGTGGGCGACGTAATTGTTCCGCGCGGGACAAACTGTTGTTCCCCGGTGACAAAGTACTTAAGACATTATCGATTGTCCTCGATAAGGAGAAGCAAGGAATTCAAAGGGGACCGATCACCTTTTCCCCTCGTTCTTTCCTCGCTGGTAGCTACCATCTCTTCGGTTCGTAGGCTATGTCTGACAAAGGAGATATGTTCCGCCAGAAGGTGTTTCGAGGAACGTCTACCTAATTAGACTCGCTGAAAGCTGCCACGATGAACCGACTGGTGCCGAGAAACCAGAGGACGATCGGTCAACGCGAAGATGTATATTTTGAATCACCAATCTTTTTTTCGATGTCAAATTGCAGAATGCACGTTCTCTTAAGGGGCCATTTTTGGTCCCGACTGATGCTTAGAAACCAGAGGACGATCGGTCAGCGC